AGACTGTCTTGTAGTTGAGCAATATGTACTGGCGTAGGAAGGTTTTTAAATGTTTGTAATAAGCAACTTTTGAACAAAAAGAACTTTACAAAATATTTTATGTTCGTATGTATGACGATCTTAGCCTAAAATCTTTTATTATATTATGTTAAAATATAGTCTCTTGTTCTTTTAAGAGCGATCAATATAATGTAAATTATTTACAAAATAGATCAGTATTAATATATATTGTGTTAGGTTCTGTGAAAAAATACAAGATTGTGATGGAACTTAAATTTTCATACCAATCGACAACCATCAGCCATATCTTTTCTGTAAATCAAGAAAAAACCGTTAAAAAACTTAAAATATAGAAAAAACAAAAACAAAGCATTAATTTAATTTATTAATTTGTATCCTTTAGTCCAAGTAAACGAAGCAATAATTGTCCTTAGATCACGATATTCTTACTCCATAAACTTAAACATTACGGAATAAATAGCAGAGTTTTACATTGGTTTTGAAGCTATTTATCAAATCGAAAACAATTTGTCTATTATAATGATATATATCAAAAAAGGTTCACACGACCTTATTACTCATTTTTTCACAGTTATATAAATTATTCAATTACTTCTTAGGGTAGTACAGTCAAAAGTAAGTTAAAACGTCTTTACCGCCGTCAGAAATACGCTATGCGTTTAATCATGGAGCTATAAAACAGGTGGAAGTAGGGAACGAAAAATCGACCATTTACGGTGATCGAAATTCTGCGGTGATGGTCTGAAAACTGAAAACCGCTAACCGACAATCACCGTTCACCTCTAACTGCTGTCAACGCCAATGCATCACAGCGCACCGCAATCACCGACCGCTGCGGTTAGCTGATAACCGACCATCACCGCAGAAGTCCGATCACCGCAAATGGTGGATTTTTCGTTCCCTAGATGGAAGTTCAACCGCATTGGGGCTATGCTTGAAACCTTTTGTTTTGTAAACAATAAGAAAACGACATCAAGACTGTACTTAAACCCCTAATCTTTATACTTGACGAAAATAGATACGTTTATAATAATTTAAAAATATAGTATTTTGAAGGTTCGCCAATAATATTCAAGAAAAACATAAAAAAATGGCGCAACGAAACGGCAATCAACAACTTTTTTATAAACTTCGTATTAAATGAATAGAGTAGTACAAGAATGAATGGAATTATGATATACAGCTAATGAAACTTTAAACTTTAGTAATTTAGAAAACATTTGTTTTGATTTTTTAAAAGTTGTTTTAGTTGTCTTTTTAATCAAATGTCGTGGTATGACTTGAAGCAAGAAAAAAGCTTAAACTAACATATGCTTTTAAAATCAAGTGGTTTTATTTAATTACAGAGTTTTAATAAACCTTTTGCTGAATGATTGCAATTACTAATGGTTAAAACTTTGCAGCATATCCCTAGAATAGTTCATTTTTTGATATTTTAATAAAAATCATTTCAGTGAATTTTGTTGTTTTTTGTCCAATGAAACTTGTTTTTTTTTTAATTGTCGGTTACAAGCATACTCCCGAGACGACTTGAAATCGCTTTGATGTTTGCGGCTCGATGAACTTCTATCTGATTTATACTTCCATGGTTTAATCGATTTGCAGATTGATTCTCGCATATTAGAATATTTTTTATGGAAACGAGAATACTCAATGTATACGAATTAAATGTATTTAATGTTTTGTTTCTTTTATATGTGGAAAAAAGATTTACGCACTTTAGTTTTTAAAGATTTATTTGTTTTGAATCCAATAAACAAATACACCTTAAGAAAGAATAATTTTGTAAAATGAACCGCTTCGTAAAACAAGATTTAATCAATTTTGTATTTTGTGCACCATATCTCTGGAATAGGATTTTTTTACCAAATTTTGATTTGTCGATTACTTTTCTAGTTTTTGAAAAAAGATCAAAAAATTTTATTCTCTTAATTGAAAATATTTTTGTATTTTAATTATATAAAATATAGAAAATATGTTTGTATTTTAATTTACCAACATAAGAAAAATACATACGAAAGAAAAATGGAATTATTCAGCAATAGCGGAACTTTTAAAAAAATGTCAAGGTAATTTTGCATGGAACAATTAAAATACTTTGAAAATAGAGGTCAATAATTTTGACAGAAAAGTGAGGGAGGCACTTGAAATAAAACGCCATGAATGTACACCTTCAGATGACAGTCTGAACCTGGATGACGAAAGTTACATTTATATGCGGTAGTAGTGTAGTGGTAAAACACTCGCTTCATAAGCAAGAGGTTCCGAGTTCAATCCCCACCACGTCCCTGGTAGTACCGCGCTCAACTTGTTTCCCCGCGCAGCGGCCTTGTTCGACAAGGTTCGTGTTTCGGAGTTATAGAGTTGAGAGAGGGTTATAATCACTTTTAAGTAGCCTCCTCGTCTGTAGTGGCCTTCTCGGCCTTGAGAAGGTGAATAACAAAAAAAAAAAACAAAAAAAAACATCACGACTTCTTTTTGGAAACCGATGTTTCGATATTTGAAGCAAAATAAACTATTGCATTGATTTGTTTTTTTTGTTTTTTTACGGTTTATTATAGAACTTAAAGTTTCCCGGAAATTTTCAACTCGGGAAAAATTCCAGAAATTTTGGAAATTTTCAAAATAAGATAAGTTATTTCATAATGAATGGGTATAATTTTATGTCTTATTCAGGCAGTTGTTATGGAAATTTTATGGTAAAATATTGTGGAGCAGATTTTAAAAATTTGGAAAGCCCTTTTTGAAAACCACTTTTCTTGGTATTTTGTTAAGTTTTTTTATTATAACTATAAGTTGCAACTATTATAATTTTTTAAAATTTTCTAAAACTACTTTATCTTGTTATTTGCTATGCATATTGATATTCATTGCTGTAGTAAGCTTTTTTTAAGGCTACACATAGTTTACACCCACATCCATAAAGAGGATGGGGTATTTTTATCTATTAGATTGGCCTACAAGTCTAAAAACTGTAAAGTAATATATAAAAAGACTTGATTGAATACTCACAATATTTTACAATGATGATATAATAATAGTTATTGATTAATGAAAGGCAAAAAGAAAAGAAATTGTTTTTGCTAAATTTGAACTATTTAAAAATAAAGTTAGCAACTAAAATAATGAACTAATGATTTCGAGGTAATAAATTCCACCTCTATGTTTAAGTCCTTTTAAAGACTTTTTTAAGTTCTCCACTAAGCGAAAAATGTCGCGGAAGGCAATATTTTATGCTGCTCCACATGCACAAGTGAATCAACAATGCAGGGATAACAAATTCGCTGCGATAAAAAAAACCGCAACGCAAATAGTAAACAGTTTCTTAACTTTTCGCTCCTCGTTTATCGTTTCAAAACAAACCAATCGTATTACATTTAGATAATAAAGATGGATACTTCTGACATAGAATTAATAGAATTCAATGAAAATGAATTAAATGAAGATCAAACTGGAGGTGGACTTGATAAAGAAAGTTTTATTGAGGCTATTCGCAAGTTTCGGTATCTCTGGGATACAAACGAGAAAGGCACAAAGATAGAAATACAAAAATAGAAATACAAAGATAAAAATATGAAAGTAAATTCATGGAAACAGCTTTAAATATTTTTTCATCAAGATGGTATAAAATTTTATTTTGCTATATTGATATATATATATATATATATATATATATATATATATATATATATATATATATATATATATATATATATATATATATATATATATATATATATATATATATATATATATATATATATATATATATATATATATATATATATATATATATATTTACCTGCGCATGTGAGGCAGCGAAAAATATCGCCCGCCGCGACATTTCTCGCTTAGTGGAGAACAGCCTTAAGACTTGAGTCTCACTCGCCACAACCTTGCCGTTTTGACTTTATAAATCAATAAACTAAAAAATTATACTATACTTTAAATAGATTTAAATGTATACCGTATTTTTCAATACTGTCAAGTAGGCGATTTGTGTGTGTGTGTGTATTATAAGTATCATACCAAGCAAATTAATTTTTTTATTATTTTACTGGACATTTCAATCAATTGTGTTTTCTAATGTCATTTTTAGATAAATTAATATAATCTAACACATCTAGTGCATTTATAACATTTATAAAGATGATTTGAAACTTTTATAAGATGATTTAAAATGAAATCTTTATACATAAAAATCTTTCTATATTTAAAAAAAATTTATATACAATCAGAGGCAATTCTACGAATAAAATGAGGAAAAGAGGGGTGAATCCTTAAAAAGTACCGATATATATATATATATATATATATATATATATATATATATATATATATATATATATATATATATATATATATATATATATATATATATATATATATATATATAATATATATATATATATATATATATATATAGCTAGTTTTTTTTAGAAAAAAAAATTATTTAGGTTGTCGCTTTTTTAAACAAATTTTATCAGATTCCGTATCAAAAATAAGTTCTAAATGCAACATTAAATTTTCATTACATTTAGATAATTATATGAACAGATTTTATGGTTTTAATTATTTTAATGTAAGGTGGGTAACAATGTAAGAAGACTTTAAGTCGGGTATTTTTAAAGTTGATTTTAAGAACTAATATGAGTCAGGTGTCCAAACTTTCTTAAAATATTTTGTTTAATAATTGTTTTAGTTATACAAAATTTTTAAATACAAAAAAAATTTTGAAAAACTTTTTGTTTTCATTTTGTTTGTACAAAATGAAAACAAAAAGTTTTATATAATTGACTCGTTATCAAATTAAAAAAATGTCGAACTAGTTGTTCCGTTATTATTGGCAACTTTAATGCTCAACGCATTTATTGGTTTTAGTGCCAGTGACTAAGACTTGATAATTTTGTCTTTTATAAAACGAATGTTTTGTTTCTATGAATATTTTATTTTTATATAATTTTAAGCTCTATTTTTACCTGTTAAAGAACTTGTGATTTCATAAGGAATTTCTCTATTAACCCATAAACTTTGGTGCCAGGTGAAAGGAGCTTGCATTTCATCTGGTGAGTTTTGTGGTTTGCTGACATCTCTAAGAATATCGCCATTAAATAACTTTGGACGAATTGAATCTTAAAAATAAAAATTAAAAATTAGTTTTTAAACTTTATTAATATATTTCTATACCAAAACAAGTTCAATAGAAATAATTTTGAATGAAAGATTTACGTATACAAAGGTTTTTATTTTTTGTTGCTAAAGTTGTTATGAGACGATTGACACGCCCTTTACAATAAACCATGCCACAGCCACAGTGGGTCAGAATTCACATTTACTGGACAAAAATAATTACTTCGGCATATAAAAAGATTTAAGAACCATTTTTTTTTTACGGTTTACTAATTTGAGGATTGCGGTTTTCATGGTGACATTAGTTTTACTTTTGGGTTGCAATGGATACCTAAATTACTTAGCAACCACATATTTTATTAACCTTAATAAATCGTGAGGTTAGAATTATTTTGTCTATCTCCACAAATCAAAAAAATTGAGTAAGATCAATTTTTTTCTTTTAATGAATAAAATATTTATTTTTTACAATTAAATCAGTTAAAATAAAAAAGTTAATTTACTATACCTGATGTTGCATTTTGCACTACCTCCTTAATCCTGTTTAAAAAATAAAATTATAATCTCCGTTTTATCCAATCAAAAGTTATATACGCCAAAATGGTGGCGGATTTTTTTACGACAGAAAAACAACAACAAAACATATTTGCAGTACATCTAGTACATATTTGTACCGCCTGAATTATTAAAAGTTCAAAACAAGATTGCGCTTTCGGGTTATAGCTGTTAGAAGTGTACCTAAAACGTCCGTATTACCTTTGTAAACAAGGAGAAAAAAAAACGTTTAGAGGACAAGAATTCTAGAAATAAAGTTTACATAAAAGTAATATAAGAAAGACGATATAAGAAAGCGTCGTAGTGATGGAAAATAAAAAACTATAAACTAATAAGTTATTTATTTACATGAAAATGTTTTACAAATACTTTTATTACATAACATAGGTACGCGGAAAAAAACGTTTTACGGAACCGAAATTTGTGCTAAAAAACTGTTCCACGTTTTTTGAAGTCCGTTTAGAGTGAGTGTGCTAAAAATGTTTTTTGTATTATAACTTTTTAGAATTCTGTATCATCTTAGATGATACAGAATTCTAAAAAAATGAATAGTTTGAATAGAATTCTTAAAAAGATGAATAGTTTGGCTTTGTATTAGTGTTTTCATTTTGGGAAGTTGTTAATGTTTATATCAAGTTTATTGGTGTCAAAAACTATGTTGTTGTTCGTTGATTAAATTACTATCGAAGGAATGTAGTGCTGACTTTTAAAACTATATGCGATTGTAGATATATCTATTTTCTCACTACCTGCCAAATTTTATTGAAAAATAATGATGCTCAAGTACACTTCTACGATGCTCAAAAAAGGTACTTTTATCGGTAATTCTGCGCCTTATATAGCAGAGGGGGAGCAACGTAAACAATATAAAAAATCGTATATCATGGATATACGATTGATATCAAAATAATAACAACTTTGATATCAAAGTTACAATAAATTGTATATAAGAATAATTATATATATATATATATATATATATATATATATATATATATATATATATATACATATATATATATATATATATATATATATATATATATATATATATATATATATATATATATATATATATATATATATATATATATATATATATATATATATATATATATATAAACATATATTTGCATAAATTTATATAGTATATATGTTAATATATATTATATATATATATATATATATATATAATATATATATATATATATATATATATATATATATATATATATATATATATATATATATATATATATATATATATATATATATATATATATATATATATATATTATATATATATATTTATATATATATATATATATATAACATATATATACATATATAATATATGTAAATATATATATATATATATATATTTATATATATTCACATATATAGTAATATTCACATATATAAAATATATATATATATAGTGTTCGACACAAATTCAAATAGTTTGATCAAATATGCGTCAAATGTTTGAAATGGCCAAATTCAAATCTTCCTATTTTGAATTTAGATCAAATTCAAATCTTTCCAAGATTTGATGTATATTTGAACGTTATTTAACTTATTTCATTTATTAATTTTAGTTATCTGAATCTATAAATTTTATTCATATTACAGCATTTGTTACTATTTCTCACACATTACAGCTTCTTTTATTCTTTTTAATCCAACCAAGACTTCAAGCACTGGCAAGCTTGAATGGTATCTGCAGAGAGAAGATTTCTTTTGTCAGTAATAATATTTTTTCCTAATGAGAAGAGCCTTTCTGATGATACAGATGTAGCAGGAATGGCCAGGTAATCTCTGGCCATTCTGGATAGGTTTGGATATTTGTCAGATCGAGATTTCCACCAAAGTAATATGTTGCTATTATTGCCGCCATCTAGCTTACTTGTATCATTACAATAGTTTTCAAACTCATTACATGGGTTTGATGAAACACGCGATTTGAACGGGGTATATTTTGAAACGTTTTGAATGCTTGTAGCAGTTGTAATATTGCTTGGGGCATAATTGATTTGATATTCACAATTGACTGTGTCCATAATCTTTGTATACAACTCGCTGTTTGCGCCCTTATCATTTTTGTAATATTCAATACCAAATCTTGGGTCCAGGACAGTGCAGATAGTAAAGCAGTCACTAGTCAAATTATAATATCTTGAAATTTTTGCAAACGCTGCAACTGTAGAGCGGTGTAGATTATCTTCAGGGTTGGTTTTTGTGGTCATCCATTCAGTAATGTGATCCAAAAGAATATTGAAGAGAGGAACCACCAAAGACAATGTGGAATATGAATCACCACTAATGAGCTGGGTAAATTCCTGGAATGGTTCAAGATACAAAACAATTGTTTCAAACCTGTTCCAAACATCTGGTGAAATTGATAGACAACAGTCTGGATTGCTTGCAGTTGAGTCAAAATCGCAAAAATACGCAATGAAACCAACTTTTAATTTCATTGCTCGTTTAAGCATATCAGCTGTTGAGTTCCATCTTGTAGGGACATCAAGTATTGGTTTTAAGGTGCAATTTGAATGCTGGAAACCTTTGAACCTAGAATATGATTGAGGACTGGATCGGATTTTTTAAATTCCTGTTCTAAGTTTTACAAGATCATCTTTCAAAACATCCAAACCTGCTTGCGCGCCCATTTTCAGCACATGAGCAAAACACCGGATATGCTCAAAGGTGGTTTTAATTTCGTACTTGGAATTTAAAAAATCCATAAATGAATTATTATTGGAAGCATTATCTAAGGTAATGCCCATTCCTTTGCTTGTAAGACCGAATTCAATCAAAACTGACAAGAATGCATTAGATAAATTTGAACCTGAATGGGAATCAGGCAAGGATTTGAAATCAAGAGTTTTGGCATGTAGGTTCCAGTCTTTGTCAATGTAATGAGCCGTTATGCCCATAAAAGCAATGTTGTTGGGTGATGTCCAACAGTCAGTGGTGAATGAAACCTTTGAGTCAAGATTCAAAAAAAGGGTCTTTAGCAATTGTTTTTTGGTGTTGTAAGTGTCCATTATCTGGCGTTTTAATTGGCGCGCACTCATGATTGACAAATTTGGTTTCAGTAGAGTGAGTAGTTTACGAAAGTGGCTGGACTCTACCTCATTAAATGATTGATCATTCTTGACAATCCAGCTAACTAAGTATTCATTGAATAGATCTGGAGAATAAACGATTGGTGTCATTATCATGTCATCTAAACGTCGTTGCTTTGGTTCTCTGTCCCCAAGTAATTTGCTTTTGTGTTGAGAATTTAAATGGTTCATTAGATTTGTTGTCCCACCTTTATTGTAGGCATACTTGTTCTTGTGCTTTGGACAATGCTGGCATATGGCCTTGGTTTTGTCATGCTCATCAACTGTGAAATGATCCCATACAATTGATTGTGAACGTTTGGTGGTTTTTGTAACAGAAGAAGATTCGGGTTCTGGATTATCCGACATAATTAGGAATGTATATTTGATTTCTTTCAAAACAATAGTTTGGTTAGGGGTACTAATTAATCATTCAATCAATCAATCAATATATATTTCTGAAATAGATACATTTCAAGGTTGTTTACAAATAGTAAATATATTAATATTAAGTAAACACCTAATGAAAATGATTAAAATAATAATGATTTAAATAATAAAAATAATATTAATAATAATGATAACAATAATAATAATTATATATAAGTCACTTGTCTTTATAAATACAATAGCTACATAAACAAAGTTAGACAGTTACAAACAGTTACAACTGATAAAACGTAAAAGTAAACAATGACATATAGCAACTATTATAATGAAAAACAAGGAAAAATAATTAATGAAAATAAGAATAACGAATATTAAAATAGAAATAATCATAATATAGTTTAAAAAAAAAAAAAAAAAAACATACATACATAAACAGATCAAATTTACAAAAACAGCTACAGTAACAGCAAACAATACAAACACAATAGCAACAACAACACAAGTTTTCACAAACATACTACAAACAAAACGGCAAACTTAAACCGACAAAAAAAAGATTAACAAATAAATAAATTAGGAAATCTACCTGAAACCTGGAAATATAAAAATAAGTTATAGTAAAATTAAAAAAAAAAATTCTTTGCTTTCAAGCAAGCCATTATTATATTTTTTTATTATTTTCTTTTTTCGAATGATTGTTTCTTTCTCTGAATGTTTTTCGATTCGTTATTGTTTTACTTTTTCCATTTTTATTGTGGTTAAATTGTATTTGCAATTTTTTCTTTTCATTTTTACATATATTTTTTTCTACGTTTTTTCTTTTAATCTTGTACTTTGTTTACATTTCTTTTCTTTTTTTCTTTCTCTATGCTCTTTACTTTCTCTTTAATATTAACAAACTTTAATTAAAAACTCTTTTTTTTTTTTTTTTTCCGTTATTGAAAGGCGAC